AATTATTCCCACTTTGAAAGAAAGACAACCGAAGTACTGTGAAGTGACGTTGCTTAAGAGAGTCAATACCCTCGACGTCTTTGTTTAGTAACATCTTTGTTGGCTTCCCTCTGCGGGGTTGGCATTCATTCAGTGGGTACGTTCACTGATGGGCTCGTGAGGGTACAAAACCCTCCCTCAGAGAACTACTTTCAGGTCTGTCTTTTCCCCAATCCCAAACACTGAGATCTCTGGCACTGGGCTGGCTTTGAGCTAATAAGGAATTTTTAGATCTCAAGGTCACCCTTCTCCTCCACAATGTGGAATTTGCCAATACAAACCTTAAAAAAAAATCTAAATTCTCTTAAATCCTGACAACTTGTGTTCCCAAGTCAATGGCAAGGTAAGAAATCTGAATGTTCTTCCCATCAGAGTGAACAACAACTTTTCAAGTTGGAAGCCATATCAATCATACGGAATTCATCACAGTTTCCATTTACAAATGCAGAATCACAGACATTTAGCTTGGCTGACATGTCTCTGTGCACATGCATCCTACCTGAATAATGATGGTGAGGCTCTTGAGGGCTTTTTAAGGAGGCTGAGATCTCTGAAATTATAGAGAAGATTGACATTTTAATTACTTGGCTGGAGATAAATACATGCTTGTGAATATATTGCCTTCAAAGTTACTATTGAACAAGTTAATCGGAAAGTTGTCTCAGTATTTGCAAAAGCTTGCCTAATATCCTTTAAACACACTATTGTGCGTGGTATCCTGACAGCTTCCAGTCATCAATGTAATATCTTCAAACATATTTATATAGGGAATTGAAGAAAGACAGGTAATATTAGCCTCAAAGATATATTTCCTCTGAACCAATTACACCTCTGGGTTGCAGAAGGTACTCAGCTGCCCATCAGACTTCACGACATCCCAGAAGCATGATTTTCTGAGCTCCCTATCAAGATGCAATACCCACAGAAAGACATTATTAATACCAAGTTATTAGCAGACTACTTCACTGACCTAAAATAACAACAACATGATGAAAACACATGAAGAGGTATATAGCAGAAACAAAGGAGGGGGTCGATAATACAACACTAAGGGATTTGTTTGGTTACACAAGGACTGTGCGTTGGGAACACGTCCTCCAAGTTTAACTCATTCTCTGCTGTCTGCTCCAGTTCTAAATTACAAGACTTCAGAGAAATCCTTTGCAACGGTTTTGCCATTTCATAAAATCAAAATTAAAGTACAGAACTTTGGTCTCACAGTGGCAACTGCTTTATCCCTAATAGAGTACACAGTATAATGAGCCCAGTTTCACAGATCTCTCCAGCTTCTTGTTGCTGGGTAAGGGAAGGAATAACAATCATTTCTTTTGGGGATGACTGGTAAAATGTAAGGTCAGCAGAAAAGACTCTTCCTTTCTCAATTTATTCAATTAAGAACAAAAAGTACTCGGCTCCCACCATGGGTCATACCAGGCAAGAGAGATGTGAGCAAGATGTGGTTCACACCCTAGAGAAGAGCAAAAATAATGTACTAACAGAGAAGGACATGGAACTATACTCACAATACAGTTTGCTAAGTAATATCATAGAGGTAAACACAGAGGTTTATGGAACACATTAATTCCACCTGGAAGGGAGGAGCTTCGTAGACAAACAGGTTGAAATACTTAAAGGGTATGGGCATCTGAGTCTGAAAAAGCTGAGTTTCAACCCCAGGTTCACTACTTAGGGAGCTGAGACCTTATTCATATTTATTCAATATATATTTCTTGAGCACCTACTATGTGCAGGCATTGGTCTATGCTCAAGAGAAAGATCAGTGATCAAAATAGATAAAGTTCTCGGCCACATTCTAGTAAAGGGAAATAGTAAACAAATACATAGAGTGTATTATACACAGTATAGTAGGTGTATATGTGTGTGTGTATATACTTATATATCACGTTAAGAGAGTTAGGAAGTATGCGGAACAGGGAGGTTGCTTTTGCATATAGGGTGGTTAGGCAAGGCCTCTCTGATCATATGAAATCTGAGCATAGACCCACAGGAAGAGAGGGGTGAGCCATATGGAAAAATGAAGAGTATTCCAGGCAGAGGCAACAGCAAGTGCAAACTCCCAGAGGCAGGACCACACCTGCCATGTTGAAGACGGGAGGTGCAGCCAGAGGGAAGTGCACTGAGAGGACTGAGGTTGCAGAGTTGTGGGGGAGCAAATCATCAGGGCCTTGTAAACTGCATTCGGACTTTGCTTTTGCAAAGTGAGATGGAAAGCCACGTGAGCAAAGGACTGACTCGGTTCAACTTCCAGTTGAAAAGGATTATTCTGGCTGCTCTTTGGAAACAGACTGTTAGAAAGCAATAGTTTGGAGGCTATACTATAATCCAAGAAAGAAATGATGGTGACTTGAAGTAGGGTATTATGTACAGGTGGCAAAGTGATTCAACTCTTGATATATTTTGAAAGATTTACTGATGCATTGGATGTGGGGTGTGAAAAACGGGAATGAAGTATGATTGCGAGACTTTAGCTTCAGGCACTGGAAGGATAGAGCTGCCATTTCTGAGATGAGGGAGGAAGGAGTTGAAACATTTTGTCTGAGGTGCCTTTTAGACATCCACATAAAGTTGTTAATGGGTGGTTGGTCATATTCTTTCAGGCATAAAAACTGAATGAAAGGAATCGTGATTATGAGCCTGGACATTTGGACTGGGGTCAGGCTGTCAAGAGCATTGAGAAAAACCCAGGGCTCTGTAGTCTATCCTTAGGTAATAGGGAGCCATTGAAGCTGCTACATGAGTGGTGACATCATTCATAAAGATAATTCCAATGGAAACACTGGAAAATTTAAAGGGAGAGAAACCAACCAGAATGCTAATACAAAATCAAGTACAAATGGAAGTATACACTTTTCATTTAGGAAAACAAATGTTGGCAGTGTTCAGGCAGGCACAGTAGAGTGGAGCAAAACAGACAACTGTAAAGAGAGGGGAGGGATGTCGAATGGAGTTAGAAGGCAAGGTTGACAGCTAAGAGCAGTGGGGTGGCAAAGGGACTGTAAATTACAAAGATCTCCAGCTTGGGCCAAGGAAGAGGAGGCTATCAGAAAGACCAAGAGCAAGTCAGCAAAGAAACAGAAGCACAGCCTGGAAGACTACAGACAGTGTCATGAAAGAAACACAGTCCAGGGCCGGCCCGGTGGCGCACTGGAGAGTGCGCCACTTGGGAGCATGGCGGTGCTCCCGCCGAGGGTTCGGATCCCATGTGGAGACCGGTTCCCGCTCACTGGCTGAGCGCGGTGCGGGTGCAACACCAAGGGTTGCGATCCCGTTGCCGGTCCCCGGTACGGGCGCGACACTGAGGGTTGTGATCCCGTTACCGGTCAGTAAAAAAAGACAAAAAGGATAAAAAAAAAAAAGAAAGAAACACAGTCCAACTTCAAATGCCACACGTTCGATGAGGACTGAAAAGGGGTCATGTGACTTGGTTCTAGTGGCATTTCAGTAGAGGGGACAGACACCATGGGCTGAAGAATAAATGTTATCACTTCTTCAATTAACTTGGAGGTGAGGGATAGGAGGGGCAGTTTGAAAGCTAGGTAAATCTAGAAAAAGATTATTTTTCCCTTTGTACAGAATATGACTTAAATTTGTATGTAGGTTGAAGAGAAGGATGTAATGAAACCCGAGATAGTGGGATGGAGCAAGACCATAGAAGGCAAAGGTACCCACCATCCATCAAGGGACAAGGAAATGAAAAGAAGTCAGAGACTACAAGTAGCTGAAAGTGGTTTTACCACATGACTCAGCCCTACTTAGCCATTTGGGGCACAGAGTCCTACTGAAACCAGGTGGAAAAGCATCCACATACAATCTCATGAATGGCTCCTAATGAGTAATATGTAAAACAGTGACAGTAAGAGCTGTTGAACATGCAAAATGAACTAAGTGGTTACACCCACACTCACAGATGAAACAAAAAACTCATAGTCAAAAACAGGTCACTCAAAAAATTTGAAACCAGCAGACATCAGTCCTGATTTATAAAATGAACTAAGTGGTTACACCCACACTCACAGATGAAACAAAACACTCATAGTCAAAAACAGGTCACTCAAAAAATTTGAAACCAGCAGACATCAGTCCTGATTTATCTGGATGAAGATATTCAGTTTTCTACTCTTCTACCAAACTTTCAATGTGTATAGTAGACAAAAATCATAAATGCAATTTCAAGAACTACAAAAATCTCAGCAGGACAGTGAATAAAATAAAAAAATTAAAATTAAATTGTTTAAATATGAAAACTTACTGTCAACTCCATTTGAATTTCTCAACCTGTTTGAAAAAATGAAGTTGTTTAGATAATGCTGCTTTAAATCTTTCAATGATTCAAAGAAAGGAAAAAGTATGTGAAACAGTAACAATACAGTGTGTAGGAGGGTGTAGATATTTGTATGTCATATGTATGTTTGAAAGGAAAGTATCAGTTACATCTGATTCCTATCTCTACCAATAGAGAAATTTACAACTCCACAATTATTGTCATAGAAAAATGAGCATCAGATATGCATGTAAGTCATTTACTGTGTATGCCCTAAGCTAACTGAAAAGCAATCCTGTTTTTTTAATTATCTATGTGATCACACAACATATATTAGATTTAACTGTGCTTGTGTTGTTCTGGATCAATTAAACTAAAGGGTTCCTGAACCATGCAAAGCAGATGCCTACAAATGAGTCTATGAATGTCTCTGGACAAGCCTACAAATCAGTTTCATTAGCCCACGTGGCCCCTAAATGTTCACAGGCTGAAATTTGCTCTCTTTAAATTGTTACTTGCCCTGCTCAAGTGCACAAGTGGCCATGGGCAAGTCTGAATAAATGCATTCAAAGAATATCTCCACTATTTGAGGTCCTTAGGGAAGAAAGTACAATTACAATTATTGTTTAATTTCATGCTGCAATAACCCACTACTCTGCATGAGCACAAACTACTGAACTTTTGGGAGAAAGAAGTCCTTTAAGTCTGGAGTCAGGCTTGCACCAAGACTGTGATGGAATCTCCAGAGAAAGGTCACCTCAAATAGAGCTGGTTACAACCTGAAAGTCACCTGCTACCTGCGTGGTATCAACTGGCCCTTCTGTAGAGTAGATTATTTTGAATTCTGCCCCATACAACTGTATGGATAGTTGATTTGCTAATGTAACTAGAAAAGTCCAGAAAACACTACAAACAAAATAGAAAAATCTTTGCTTGGTTGGTTTTCAAATTTCATTTCTCTGAATAAATAAAATTCCAAGAGGATACTCAAATCTACAACCATGTGAGTTCTCTGTATTCGTTCTCTCCATCCCATCTTCCTCTCTATCTCTCTCTGTCTTTCTCTCTGTCTCAATCCTTCTCAGAGTTACTGCTTTAACAATTAGGATGTTACTGAGAAACCAAAAATTAAAAAGATCAACCTCGTAAGCTGAAAGGACAAAAAATTTTTTTTTAGTTCTTTTTCAAACTAAAGAATAAGCATAATCAGGTCTTCAATCTAAGCCTTTTTCTTTAGGCAAGACAGATGTATTTCCACTCTTTAATGCAAATTCACAATCTTATATATCCAAAAAAATACGATAATCATGATTGCATGTGTATGTTTTTTGACACTAAAAAGGCAAATGTTTACTTTGCAGTAGGAATTCTTGTTTCATTATATTCTTAAAAGGCACTCAGGTGAGATCTTGTTGCCAGAAACAGGAAAACTTGAAGAATAAATTATTTCCAATCTTACTAACAAAAGAAAAATGCTGTTATTTGACACATACTCATTTTTCTGCTTTTCTGACCAGGTTAAACCTTTGTTCCTAATCAGATTTAAAAAGTAGAAGCCAAAGACTCTTAAAGAGAGATGTATGGAAATACTCACAAGAAGGTCCTACTGAGGTTGTTCCTCCTGGAATTCCATAAAGAGTTTCCACTGAGATCCTGAGCAGAAGGGAAAAGCCATCACAGGTACACCCAACATATGCCCACCCCCAGCTTCTGGTAGTACTGCGCTTGCAAACACACTTTCTGGAGAATGTTTCTTTTTCCTTCTTCTACCTGCGTATTTCTCTTTTAATAAACATACTAAACTCAAGCTAGAAAGATACATAACGTTAGCACAATATCAGAGTAACTCTGTGTGTTGGTGGACTGTAACAGAATGAAATTGCTTTTATGAGGACCTTAAAGAGAAAATGTAACATATGAAGGTTTTTGCAGAAATAGGACTGAATATGCAATATCAATTAATGACATGAAAGAAGGAATGAAGGTCAAGTTGACAGCAACATCGATCATCACAGCATTATTTCCTATCATCAGTAGAATGCCATTCCAGGTACTGACAATTACTTAAAATAACATTACCTTG